TGGCACGCGGGGCGGAGGGGTTCCGCCAAAGGGTTCTGGTGCGGGGTGGAGGCGGTTCACATGCTGGGCAAAGGTTGTTCTTGAGCGGGCCGTCAAAACTGGTTGAGCCGCGCGCGCGGGGCGTACGAGACTTGCCAGAGACACGCAGCCGGCGACGCGCGATCGGTGACGCGCGAACAGCCACTGGCGACACGGGCCGGCGTTGCCAAACCTCCCCGGACGAATGAACAGGAGGTGAACCATGGTTTTTTCTGTTTTTTTTTTCATAAATGTGATCCATATTCCACGTAGATCAATTTCAACCAATGAAATTCTTCTTCTCAGTGCTAAGGACTGTTGCTTGTACAAGCAACTGAGAAAAAAATTTAAGAAACTCAGTTGCCATGTAGGATAACTCCAATGGCAGTTTCTAACAAGCACCGTTGCTTATCAATAAGCAACACACTAAGCACCTGCCGCTGGAGGTGCTCTAAGAGAAACAAATATTGGCCTTTGTTTTATATACATAATTTATTGCATAATAAATATTTAACTTAAACATTATATATGTCAAAATATTAATATGATATAAATGGGAATACATTCATTTAATAAAGAGTAATTTACAAAATCAGGGAGAGAGTACCTCTTGGTTGGATTTAAAAAATAAAAAAAAAAAGGCTAAAGAAAACGAATTAGGTTATTGCTTTTATCCAACCCTTATCAATTTTATTTTAAACGTGATCATCAAATGGAATTTTTTAATTTATGTCTATTATAGGCAATTTTATTTTTATTTATTTCTTATCTTTGTCGTGGTTGACCGGCAACTCTATGTTCCATATGCCAGATGTTTCAATCTATAAAAGGGACCTTAAATTAGTCCTTTTGAGAACTTGGAAAGACATAACCATAGGAAGAGGATGGAGTTGTTGCTTGGTTTACTTGTGTTGTTATTGGGCACTAGCACCATTGCAAATGCTGCAATTTCTGAACTTTCTTGGAGGGAAATTAGCAACATCAATAGCCAAGGGCCATATTTTGGTATAGTAGTGCCAAATGGTTATGAGCTTGATCCTCTTCTTCATTCACCTAGATATGTGGCCGATGACAAGTTTCCTCACTTTGATTTTGCTGGTAACTTCTGGAACCATGCATGTCTTATTAAATTATTTTATGATGTTCAGTTTAATTTATATGAGTAACCTGTTTAACTACAAGTTTAAAAGAATTTCTTTTAGAATTTCTCTACTAAAAATAGAGATTATTTGTAATAAAAAATCTCAATTTTTTTTATAAAATTATATTCAAATAGACTTTATATAAATGTTATGAATATGTTACCCTCCTTTTCATTGATTGAATTTGTTCAGAAATCATAAAATTTAGTGAATCTCTCATATATACTTTATAATTTTTAATTAATTTTAATCAATAAGAAGTTACTGCTCTTGATATAAGGTGCTCTTATGTAAGGCGTGTCTAAAATCAAAATAGATGAATAAATATTTAAAAAAAAAAGTGATTCATTTATCATATTTCCATTTGTAATGCGTATCATCAAGTTAAAAAAATATAAAGAATCTAGGAGTTTTAATTTCAAAGTATTGGTGATGTACCATATATAACACGACACACACATAACTACAATTTTGAATAAGTATCAATGCTTGTTGGCTGAATCTTCTCTTTTTTCTCCATTTGGTAAACTTGGCAATGCAGGAAAACATTTTCGCATTGGTGTATTGGAAAAGAAGAGGGTTATAGTTGTTATGTGCGGATTGGGAATGGTAAGACATATAGTTTCTATTTTAAATTCGACATAAACTTTTGGTTATATTTGTCTTTTATTTTTGTTGAAAGTGTTTTGGGTTTGTCTTTGTTTAGCTAAATGCAGGTATTTCGACCCAATTGTTGCTTACATTGTTTGATGTGAAAGGAGTTCTCAATTACGGAATTGCTGGAAATGGAAATCCTAAACTCCAGATCGGGGACGTAACTATTCCCCAATATTGGGCCCACACTGGACTTTGGCGTTGGCAGGTATATATATATATTACTATATGTTAGTTTAATTCAATGACTTTTTTAAAGGTTAACAACAAAGTCTAACTGTGCAGAGGTTAGGAGAAATAGATGGAGATTTCAGCAGAAAATTCGGTAATCTTGAGTTTGCCGATTACAGTAACTGCTCAAAAGATTTTGAGCCAAAAAATACAAATCTTTTGAGCAAAGTATGGTATCAAGCAGAGGAAATTTACCCCGTTAATGGAAATACTGAAGTTAACCATGACATTTTCTGGGTTCCAGTCGACAAGACTTACTTTAAAATTGCAAGAAACCTCAAGGTAAGTTAATCCAATCCCACTTTACCATCTTACTATAATTCACTTGTTTCAAGAAATCAATTATAAATTTACTTGAATTAACTTTTCAAGAAACATTTTAAAAAAATGGAAAAAAAATGAAATGATTTTATAAGCTAAATAACTTACATTACTAAAAAAAAAGGAACATA